GAATTTTCAAACTTAATTTCAAACATTTCTTAAAAAGCTCGTATTCTGAAAGTGCTTTTTAAATACTTTAAAATTCATAAAAAAATCGAAATTAATTTCAAAATTTTCGAACTTAACTTCGAATTTCATATTTAATTTCGAACTTTGCTTAAAAAGCTCTTATTCTGAAAATTCTCTTTAAATACTTTAAAATTCATAAAAAATTCGAATTAATTTCAAAATTTTCGAACTTAACTTTGAAGTTTCAAATTTAAATTCGAACATAGATTAAAAAGCTTTTATTCTGATACTTCTATGAAAATTCTTTGAAATTCATAAAAAAATTCGAAATATATTCAAAATTTTCATATTCGAAATGGGAAAATGTGAGAAATAAACATAATCATACTAAAAACGCATTTTTCTAAATCCTCGTAATTTAGATATTAATTTAAGAGTTTTAAAAAATTTTCGAACTTAATTTCGAATTTTCGAACATAGCTTAAAAAGCTTATATTCTGATACTACTTTGAAAATTCTTTGAAATTCATAAAAAATTCGAAAATATTTTCAAATTTATCAATTTCGAAATTCGAAAATTTTAGAAATATAGCTCAAATAATTGTAAAATCATATTTTTCTGAATTCTCGTGATTTAGAAGTTAATCTAAAAGTTTTAAAATTTTTCGAACTTAACTTCGAATTTTCAAATTTAATTTTGAATTTTCGAACATTGCTTAAAAAGCTAATATTCTGATAATACTTCGAAAATGCTTTGAAATTCGTAAAAAATTTCGAAAATATTTTAAAAATTTTTAATTTCGAAATTCGAATATTCAAAAAATAAAGCTCAAATAATTGTAAAACCATATTTTTCTGATTCCTTGTGTTTTAGAAGTTAATCTAACAGTTTTAAAAATGTTTAACTTAACTTCGAATTTAATTTCGAAGTTTCGAAAATAGCTTAAAATTTCGAATTTTCAAAATTTTCTGTTTTAACTTCGAAATTGGTCTTAAATCAAACTAAATAGTATTTGTTTGAAATTTCCAAGATTTAAAAATTTGTATTGTAATCAGGTGTTAATATGAATGTCAAGTTTCAGTTTAATCGGACTATAGGATTGAAACTAAACCAACAAACAAACTCATAGCGCATATTTGCCACATTTGCAAGAAGAGTAATTTCCGTGTTACCCACTAAAGACCAAATTAAAATATGTTATTTTTAGATTTATAAAATTTTGATAAGCCATCAATTTAACAAAAACAACAAAATATTGCAAAAATTTTGTTCAACGTTTATAGATAATAAATATTTTATGAACTAAGGTTAATTGAGACAAAATAATTCCATTATTTTTTCATACATAATATCACAGTGGCGGCATATTCAATAATAAGGTACTTTTTTTTGGTACAATTCTACTTCTAATATACACATTTTGAGTAAAACTTCAAAATTAGTATTAACTTGTGAGCAAAACTAGTACGACAAACTACAAAATATATTTCTAATTAATTTTTTTAAATTAAACTTCATATTTAGTCCCGCCTTTAGTTTAAGTTCTTTTTTAATGAAGGTAAAAGTTTTGGTAATTCTCAGTGCCATGTAGTACTAAATACCATCACTGCTGTAAACAACAAACACATGACCATATACAAAATATCATAATAAAATATATTAAAAAAATGTCATTAATTACTGGAGCAAAGTGTGTTCAACAATTCATTAAGTTTAGTTTAATTTATTTTTAACTAAAGAGAAACACACTTATTTAAACAAAAACGTTAGTCTGAATATAATAAGAATTTATACGTATTAAAGTGGTGAATCTTCAATATAAACAATAACAATTATTCAAAAATAAGAAATGAATTTTGAAAAGTTACTAAAGGCTGTGCTGTTACAAAATTAATCTACAGTATTTCAGAAACATCAAAACAATAAAGCAATTCATAAAGTGTTCAATTATAAAAATATAAAAGATTATTATTTTTGGGGGAATAAGTGATTTTTGTGTAATAAAAAAGACTATAGACTGGATTATATAATATATTCTAGTGTATAGTCTAGTCCACAGGCCAGTCTAGTCTATAGTCTAGTCTGTGGTACACCTATAGTCTAGTCTATAGTCCGGTCTATAGTCTAATAGTCTAGTCTATAGTCTAGTCTATAGTCTAGTCTATAGTCTAGTCTATAGTCTAGTCTATAGTCTAGTCTATAGTCTAGTCTATAGTCTAGTCTATAGTCTAGTCTATAGTCTAGTCTATAGTCTAGTCTATAGTCTAGTCTATAGTCTAGTCTATAGTCTAGTCTATAGTCTAGTCTATTGTCTAGTCTATAGTCTAATCTATAGTCTAGTCTATAGTCTAGTCTATAGTCTAGTCTATAGTCTAATCTATAGTCTAGTCTATAGTCTAATCTATAGTCTAGTCTATAGTCTAGTCTATAGTCTAGTCTATAGTCTAGTCTATAGTCTAGTCTATAGTCTAGTCTATAGTCTAGTCTATAGTCTAGTCTATAGTCTAGTCTATAGTCTAGTCTAGTATATAGTCTAGTATATAGTCTAGTCTATAGTCTAGTCTATAGTCTAGTCTATAGTCTAGTCTATAGTCTATTCTATAGTCTAGTCTATAGTCTAGTATGTAGTCTAGTCTATAGTCTAGTCTATAGTCTAGTCTATAGTCTAGCCTATAGTCTAGTCTATAGTCTAGTCTATAGTCTAGTCTATAGTCTAGCCTATAGTCTAGTCTATAGTCTAGTCTATAGTCTAGCCTATAGTCTAGTCTATAGTCTAGTCTATAGTCTAGTCTATAGTCTAGCCTATAGTCTAGTCTATAGTCTAGTCTATAGTCTAGTCTATAGTCTAGTCTATAGTCTAGTCTATAGTCTAGTCTATAGTCTAGTTTATAGTCTAGTCTATAGTCTAGTCTATAGTCTAGTATGTAGTCTAGTCTATAGTCTAGTTTATAGTCTAGCCTATAGTCTAGTCTATAGTCTAGTCTATAGTCTAGTCTATAGTCTAGTCTATAGTCTATTCTATAGTCTAGTCTATAGTCTAGTATGTAGTCTAGTCTATAGTCTAGTCTATAGTCTAGTCTATAGTCTAGCCTATAGTCTAGCCTATAGTCTAGTCTATAGTCTAGTCTATAGTTAGTCTATAGTCTAGCCTATAGTCTAGTCTATAGTCTAGTCTATAGTCTAGCCTATAGTCTAGTCTATAGTCTAGTCTATAGTCTAGTCTATAGTCTAGCCTATAGTCTAGTCTATAGTCTAGTCTATAGTCTAGTCTATAGTCTAGTCTATAGTCTAGTCTATAGTCTAGTCTATAGTCTAGTCTATAGTCTAGTCTATAGTCTAGTTTATAGTCTAGTCTATAGTCTAGTCTATAGTCTAGTCTATAGTCTAGTCTATAGTCTAGTCTATAGTCTAGTCTATAGTCTAGTCTATAGTCTAGTCTATAGTCTAGTCTATAGTCTAGTCTATAGTCTAGTCTATAGTCTAGTCTATAGTCTAGTCTATAGTCTAGTCTATAGTCTAGTCTATAGTCTAGTCTATAGTCTAGTATATAGTCTAGTCTATAGTCTAGTATATAGTCTAGTATATAGTCTAGTCTATAGTCTAGTCTATGGTCTAGTCTATAGTCTAGTCTATGGTCTAGTCTATAGTCTAGTCTAGTCTATAGTCTAGTCTATAGTCTAGTCTATAGTCTAGTATATAGTCTAGTCTATGGTCTAGTCTATGGTCTAGTCTATAGTCTAGTGTAGTCTATAGTCTAGTCTATAGTCTAGTCTATAGTCTAGTCTATAGTCTAGTCTATAGTCTAGTCTATAGTCTAGTCTATAGTCTAGTCTATAGTCTAGTCTATAGTCTAGTCTAGTCTAGTCTATAGTCTAGTCTAGTCTATAGTCTATAGTCTAGTCTAGTCTATAGTCTAGTCTAGTCTAGTCTATAGTCTAGTCTATAGTCTAGTCTTTATAGTCTATAGTATTGTCTATAGTCTAGTTTGTAGTGCAGTCTAGTCTATAGTCTAGTATATTCTCTGGTCTAAAACCCAGTCTATAATATAATTTATAGTCTAGTCTAATCTATAGTCTAGTCTTTAGTCTAGTCTATAGTCTAATCTATAGTCCAGTATATAGCCTTGTCTACAGGCCAGCCTATAGTCTTTTCTGTAGTCTAGTTTGTAATACAGTCTAGTCTATAGTCTAATCTATTATCTGGTCTAAAATTCAGTCTATAATATAATTTATAGTCTAGTCTATAGTCTAGTGTATAGTCTAGTCTAATCTATAGTCTAATTTAGTCTATAGTCTAGTCTAGTCTAGTCTATAGTCCATAGTCTATAGTCTAGTCTATAGTCTAGTCTATAGTCTAGTCTAGTCTATAGTCTAATCGATAGTCTAATCGATAGTCTAATCTATAGTCTAGTCTGGTCTATAGTCTAGTCTGTAGTATAATCTAGTCTGTAGTATATTCTATAGTCTAGTATATAGTCTAGTCTGTAGTCTAGTCTGTTGTCTGGTCTGTAGTTTAGTCTATAGACTGGTTTATTTATCTAGTCTATAGTGTTATCTATAGTCTAGTGTACAAAACGGGACCTAAATTTGTTTACCACTTTTTATACAATAAAAATCGTTGTTAGAATTCTATAAAGCATAAAATTGACCCGCGTATAGTTAAAGCAAGCGTGTAATTACTTGAAAAAAAAAACAACAACATTTCTTATTGAAAAACCTAACGTACATGTTAATTACTTTCAAGTTCAGTTTTATACACAACTTAAAGCTACTAGTCTATCAAATAAAAAGTAAACAAAAACTTTTTCTGAGTATCGAGGGGCAATTACTTATGACTACAAATTAACGGTTCGAAATTATACATACGTCACGTTTTCCCCTAAATGAGAAGACTCATAAATATTTTATTTAATTTTTTTTAAGCTCATACAAAGTTCAACAATATTAAACAAATACAAAACGTTCTAAACCCGTTTTCTCTATAATTTTGTTTGTTTTCTTTTGTTAAACAAATGTTAACAAACATTTCTTTTCGGTAGTTTGTTCTGGAAGTTTATAATGTGTACAGCGGACACGGGAAAGTACATTCATTTTCGGTTGTTTTTATCGTCATCAATGATAAGGAATTTGTTCGACATTTATTAGGCAAGTTTTGTCTACACATAGAGTTCTACATAAAATAACATAAAGATAAGATTAAACCAAATAAATATGCGCGAATAAAGAAAGCTTTTAGTTGTTGTTATTCATAGTATAAACAAAAATGCTGAGAGGAATAACGCACTAACGAAAGCTTTTGTTACTAGTTAGTACACATTTAAACTTTGTAACAAAACGTTAGCGGAAGATAAATGACTACTCACTCCGCTATAGTTTGAAAGTAGAGAGTTATTTTCGAAACAAAAATCTTCTATAATAAACTTGTTAAACACTAAAATTCAATAGATATAATTATAAGCAACAACAACAACCACAATAATAACAGAAAAATATACCAAAAAAAAAAAAACATGACAGATTTCAATAGTAATGATGGTGAACATGTTATAGAACAATTGAAACAATCGGTAAAATCGATAATTGAAAAAACCGGTTCACACAAATTCACCCACGAATTAATCGACAAGATCCATAAATTACAACTACAATTAGAGGAATTATCAAGTTCAGATAAAGTACAATTTATACATGAAATGAAAGATTCTTTTCGTGCCACCATCGATAAGATTGAAACGAAACTAATGCAACATGCTCAATTCGAAAGAGTTTATAATTATTCAATATTTGCTGCTTTAATATTTTTATTATTGTTTATATTTGGTGGGTTGTATTTTCATACAATAAAACTTTAATTAATTTTAGTTCAATTGTTTACTTAAATTGATAAATTGTTTTAATTTTGATTTTTGATTTTTTTTTTTAGCTCTCTTCGGTTATAAATTGTACAAATCTTTAATGGAGAAGGAATTGAAGAAACAAGAGAAACTTAAACAGAAACAATCCAAGAAGAGTAAAAAAGCCAATTAATTTTTACACAATTCCAAAAGCTAAAAGAGAAGACATTGAGACGATAAAGAGAGGCTTTGTTTTATTTAAGCCAGAGTTTAAAGTTTAAGTTAATAATAACAATAATAATATTTAATAAAAAAAAATGTAATAAGAAATGTAATTTAATTACTTAAAATTAAATTGAAATTAAAAGAGATTTTTTACTTATTTTTAGTGTTTATTTATTGTTTTGGCCAATGAACTTTAAAGTAAAATCTTAAGAAATAGGGTACATAATGTTAAAATTTTGTTATAGACCTTTGTCTAGACTCTAGGTGTCGTAAATAAGTTTGCTAACGCAGTCCACCCCACTTTAGCTATTGTAGCTCTAATCTCAATAATCAATAATAAAGTTTTTATGGTATATTTATACAGCAATTAGTAACAGACAAGTTACTCGATATGTTTTCATCAAGTTTCTAGTCGAAGAACCCGAGTAATAAAGTTTACTTTTGGAAAGATTGAGTTATGCTGAATCCTAATCTGACCTCAGAATTTTGATCGTAAATTCAGTTTGCGAGGTTTTAAATGAAACCCCTTATTAATTTAGTTTTTATTTTAAAAAGCAGGTTATTGCTATATTTGAATAACACATCAGTGTTATTTATAAATCTTTTTATGTGGTCTGAAAGTCCTTTCTGTTGCCTTCTAAATAAAGATTTAATCTCTGTTATATTTTGTTCCTTCTTTGTAGTATCTTTATCCAAAGGAATGAAAGATATTACAGAAGTTAAACCTTAATTTAGAAGGTAATAAAAAGGACCTTTATAACAGCAATTATAAATAGACTAAGCTATATCGAAATCGTTATGTGATGGGAAAGATCTGAAGTCAGATTCGGATTCAGCTCAATCCTTTAGAAAAGTGTACTCTTGTATACAATATATAGATCTGCTGACCTGCAGCTTTTTAAAATATTTCGTAACCTTTTTTCTTTTTATTTCTTCTTACTGGAGATAATGTTTTGTTTTATTTCATATTTTTTGAAATTATGATTGATCGATTTTTCACTTTCACACACTTATTTATAAACAAAATTCAGTTTTTCACTTTCTTTACACAAAAGTTGTTTTTTAAACAAATCTATTCACAATTATGAATTTAATATTTTAACAGCTTTTTTTTGCTCACGAAACAAACAAACTTTTTCGTTATTTTAAAACAAAAAGAAATCAAATGAAAATAGCATTCTTGAAAATTTTAATTCAACTTACTTGCCTTAACAGACTCTAGATTACTTTAACTACATATTGTTTCGAATTCATCAGATGTCTGCTCATGTGATGATTCTATGTCATCTTCTTCCAATACCAACTCAATAGCATCCTGTTCAAATTTTTCACTATTATCTTCCGAAGCTACAGTTTTCGAACGTTTAACTTGTTGTGTACTCTCTTCATCAACATTAAATATTTCATATGATTTATCATCAACTTGTACAATATATTTTTTGTGTGATCTTTTACGTTTGTTATCATTTTGATGTTTAGTTTGAATATGTGTCTTTAAAAGATTATAGGTATAGAATGCTGCACTACAGCCATCTTCATTTAAGTAATTGGAACATATGTATCTAAATAAAGAAAGAAATAAAGAATCATGTAACTAATATTAATTTGTTTTTAAACTTACTCTTTCTTATTTTGATGCCTTTTCGTATGTATGGTTAAGAGTTGTTTTCTGCCAAATGTTTTACTACAAATTGTACATTTAAATTTTTGTTGATTATTATGTTTATCCATATGAACTTCCAAAGATTTTTCATAGTTCGTCATGAAATCACAAATTTCACATTTATAGGGAAATTCGGAATGCACCTGTGTAAAAAGGTAAGTTAAAATTTCTTTACTTTTTATAATTTTTTTTATCAAACTTACTTTCTTTTCATGCGCTTCTTTTTCACTTTTATGAAAATAGCCCTTTTCACAATATTGACAGAAATAACGTTTCATATTAAGATGCACCAAATTACGATGTGATTCCAAATTTCGTCGATTTTTGAAATTTTTAAAACAAACTTCACATTTTATGGCTGTATGGAATTTATCTATATGTTCTTGCAGCAGTTTTTGAGTCTTATAGGTACGTTTGCAGTGAGAACAAGATATATTTGCTGTAATTAGGAAAAACAATTGAATAAGTTTTTTATGAAAATCGAACTCACTCAAAAGATGGAAGTATAGATAAATAGATAGATAGATAGATAGATAGATAGATAGATAGATAGATAGATAGATAGATAGATAGATAGATAGATAGATAGATTAGATATAGATAGATAGATAGAGATAGATAGATAGATAGATTAGATAGATGAGATAGATAGATAGATAGATAGATAGATAGATAGCTAGATCGCTACTAGCTCGATCGATCGATCGATAGATCGTCTCGCTCGATAGCTCGCTCGATCGCTCGCTCGCTCGCTCGCTCGCTCGCTCGCTCGCTCGCTCGCTCGCTGGTCGCTCGCTCGCTGTCGCTCGCTCGCTCGCTCGCTCGCTCGCTCGCTCCTCGCTCGCTCGCTCTCTCGCTCGCTCGCTCGCTCCTCGCTCGCTCGCTCGCTCGCTCGCTCGCTCGCTCGCTCGCTCCTCGCTCGCTCTCGCTGGCTCGCTCCCTCGCTCGCTCGCTCGCTCGCTCGCTCCTCGCTCGCTCGCTCGCTCGCTCGCTCGCTCGCTCGCTCGCTCGCTCGCCCTCGCTCGCTCGCTCGCTCGCTCGCTCGCTCGCTCGCTCGCTCGCTCGCTCGCTCGCTCGCTCTCTCGCTCGCTCTCTCGCTCGCTCGCCGCTCGCTCGCTCGCTCGCCCTCTCGCTCGCTCGCCCTCTCGCTCGCTCGCTCCTCGCTCGCTCGCTCGCTGCTCGCTCGCTCGCTCGCTCGCTCGCTCGCTCGCTCGCTCGCTCGCTCGCTCGCTCGCTCGCTCGCTCGGTCGCTCGCTCGCTCGCTCGCTCGCTCTCTCGCTCGCTCGCTCGCTCTCTCGCTCGCTCGCTCGCTCGCTCTCTCGCTGCTCGCCCGCTCGCTCGCTTCCCTCGCTTGCTCGCTTGCTCGCTTGCTCGCTCGCTCGCTCGCTCGCTCGCTCGCTCGCTCGCTCGCTCGCTCGCTCGCTCGCTCGCTCGCTCGCTCGCTCGCTCGCTCGCTCGCTCGCTCTCGCTCTCTCGCTCTCTCGCTTCGCTCGCTCGCTCGCTCGCTCGCTCGCTCGCTCGCTCGCTCGCTCGCTCTCTCGCTCTCTCGCTCGCTGCTCGCTCGCTCGCTCTTCTGGGTTTCCCCTTCCCCCCCCCTTCCCCTTCTTCTGACTTCTAGCTACATGAACAGCCAAAGACATTTTCGAAGTACACAATTGTTGACAGAATTGACACTTAAACTCCGCAGGTTTATCGTCTTTAGCTTCCTTACTTTTATGCGGACGTTTTTGTGATAATACAGGGAAGTCCAAATGGGATAAAATTCTTGGCAATCCTATAACAATAACATTAGTAACATTATATATGCTACAAAATCTAAAATTTTTACTTACACCTATATTGCATACAAAATAACGCGTTATAGGAAAAGCTTCCTGCCATTTTTCAAAATCTTTATGATTAATAGCATGATTACGCATATGACGTAGTGAGTTAAAAGCTCGACGACAAATGCCACAATAATACAAAGTATCTCTATGGTTTTTACTCAAACGATGTTCCTTCAGCTGTTTAATGGTATGAAAATCAATGGAACAATTCTCACAAGTATAACCCAAAGCCAATAGTTTTTCTTCCAGTGGCGAAGAATAACAAGGGGATTCGGCATCTGCTTCAATGTGTTCCTTATATAATAAAACGTTTAGTAATAATTGAGCTTATTATAGTAATATTAATTACCTTAATTAAATCACAATCATTGGTTATAAAACCACACGTTGAACAGATATAAGTTTCTATTTGTACATCAGCAGCATGTGACTTAACATGATTACGATACGAGGCCTGATTAACAAACTCTTTTTCACAAAAATCACACTGTATAGCAGAGGATTTGTTATTGTGATAAATATCCTACAAAAAAAAAATTGAATAAATTATTAGTTTTTAGTTTTCAACTAAAAAAAGTGGAGATAACTTACTACATGCTGATTTAAACCCGCTTTATTGGTATACTTTTTTGGACAATAGCTGCAGGCATATTGATATTTAGATTCCTCATGCAATTCCATATGGCTGTCAAAGACCTCTTTTTCTTTAAAGAATCTATCACATCTGTTAACAGCAAAAAATTAAATATAATTATAAAATATTATATAGAATAATTAAAAAAACCTACTCTATACAAGCCATAGCCGTCGCTGGATTATGTTTATATTGAGTATGTTCAAAGAAATCATTGGAGTTATTAAATAAAGCACCACACATTAGGCAAACCTTTGGTCGATGATTCGTCAAATGGAATTGCATATGAAAAACAAATCTATAAATTCGATTTATTAGTAATAACGATATATATTTTCTTATGACTTAAAGTATGTCCTTACCTTTTCAAGGACTGAAAATCCAAATTACATGATTGACAATGATTGGGAGCTCCAGTTTTTTTCTTGATATTACGGCAACAGGAGTGTTTATTCAATTCAATAAAGTTCGAAAATGTTTTCTGACAATCTGGACATTTGCTATATATAATGGTGCTACAAATAAAGAAAAAACTTTATAAAACAAATATAACTTAATATATAACTTAATACCACCTACCTTTCCAATTTGTCATAGTGATGTAAAACCAAATGCCTGGCTAAGGTCTGCAAATTATTTATATCTTCTCCACAATCCTTAAAAACACAACGATACTGTTGTTCTTCCTCGAAATCTGTTACGCAGTTGTGTTTTAATAATTCTGGTAAGTTATTGTATTTGTCATGGCACAACTGTTGTTATAAGGAAATATATTGATTCAGTTCCATATGTGTTGTATAATAATAATGTTTTACTTACTTCACATTCCACATCCCAATCCAATTGTAAATCTTGAAATTTTGTTACTAACACTTTATCCAAATAATCGTTTAGATCAACAGTATCGTACTCTTGAGAACAAAAAATATCTGAAAGACAAATTTATAAATTTTAAACGATATGATATGACCTTACCAATGACTTTTATTTTACCTTCAACTAAATACTCCTCTTCCAAGGAATAGGTATCCTCCTGAGGATCATCCTCATCATTTTCTATAGCTTTTTCCGCATCAATGGTATCTTTATTAATGTTAACTCTGTCAGAAATATTTGAATTTAATGATTCAGTATCTAAATCCACAGTACTTTCATTTTCTGTTTGCAAAGACTTTAATTCCTTATTAATAATTTCCAAATCTTCCAATACCGTTTCATTACTTTCACCTTCTTTTTCATTATCACTTGGTACATCTTCTTCATAGTAAACAAGTTCAAGTTCTTCGTCGTCTACAGCATCCTTAGTTGATGTTTCATTTTCGTCCGTAGCTGTATTTGTTGTACTAAATTCCAATATAGATTTATTAACTTCATTATCTTCCTGTTGAGGTTCTTCTATAAACTCATTTTCATCATCATATGTGAAATGATTCTCTGAATTTTGTTCATCTTCCTCAATTTCCTCATCATTTTCATGCTCACCCGTTAGCTCAAATTCTTCGGAAGATATGTGAGTACCAATTAGAATGTTAGAATTATTTTGATGTTCCTCTTCATCTTCCACAAACACAATATCTTCAGAACATTCTTCTTCACCTGCATTTGGCACATCTACTGTAGTACTAGCTATTATGTTATTAAAGGATTGTTCATCATTCTCAATTTCCAAATTATTTATTAAATTTTCAGTACTATTAACAGCTTCTTCAGCATAGTAAGCAGTTTTATCTTCTTTAAAGAGTTCTTCGTTGTTATCTTTCTCTTCTGTCACATTTTCTTGCACACTTGCCCTGTCTTTATCCTCCTGTTCAATAATTTTTATATTTCTATACTCGCTGCTTAAACTCTCGGGCAAAATGACTTGCTGTTCAACATCTTGTTGTACAAGATCGTTAGTACATTTCAGATATTCTGGATTCAATTTCTCAAATTCATCCGCTGAAGCTACTTTACTATTTTCCTTCTCTTCAGCTTCCGGCTGAATATTTACCCCAAGAGATTCTTCCTCCTTGCTCTGTTCTTGTTTGGTGTGTTCTTCCAAGTCATATAATTCGATTAAATTATTAACACAATCGTCACACAAACATTGTTTATCTTCATTTTCAACCTTAATATGAAAAAACTTTTCCACTAAAGTGGGCAATTGCAATTCAACTCCCACTTCATCAAAGATCTCATGAAATTCCTTTGCAGCATCTCTCTCGGATGTTGTTTTACAATATAAACAGACACTGATGGTTGTGGAAACATTAACCGCCATTCTAAGAACTGTTCTTTTATTTAAGTTGAAGAATTTATAGTTTAGTTAATTGATTTATAATTAATTTTGTTAAAATAAAACAATATTTGATATTTTTCCATCAATTTTTTTATTTTTTCACAATAAAACAAACAAATTTTGTTTGCTTGTCAACAAGCCATGTGTCAACTGAGTGCTGTGAAATGTTTTTGTTGTCATTAAGCAATATGGCAGCACTTTTAGTTGGTAGAGGAAATAATGCTGCCACATTAAATTTATGTTTATATTGAAAACTCACGTTCAATTAAAATTTAAATTAATGAATTGTTAATAATTTACAAAGTATATTTATTTAAAAAAGTAAAAATTATAAATATTAATTATTATTTTAGTGTAAATTAAAAGAAAAAGTCTAATGTGTGGCATTTAAACTTTAATAACTGCAAATCTATATAAACATCATTTTGCGAATAATTTTGTGATAAATTTTAAATAAAATTTAATTTTTAACTTAACTATTTATGCGTTTTAACAAAGCAAAGTAGCTATATGAAGAATTTACAATCTGAAATTAAAAAAAAAAAATGGGATTGTTTAATTTTTGTATAAAATATATTGGGTAAGGGTATTCCTGAAACACGTATGGAATCGATTAAATGAACGATTAGTTTTTAAATTTAATAACTTTCTGTATATTTGAAAAGAAGGAACACAATACTTACCGAAGTAAAAGCTGCCAAATTAAAAGTGTACGTGGGATTTACCGATCTAATAACTATGGGTAAATCAAATCGCGTCATCATTAGTAAAGTCAACTTGCGATTAAGTTTATTCCATTCCACCCATTTTGAACAATATAAAAAATAAGAAATCTCTTGACTTTTAAAGGTAACCTCACTGGAAAAATAGCAAAGTATATAGATTTGTGATAACATGCACAATTGATAAATTAAAAACTTGATGAAATTGGCATAATCACCGGGATCGGATAGCTAGAAGTACATATTTATATTTATATATAAATAAAACTATATTTATTCAACTTACAAAAGACATAGCATAAAAATTAGCCACCAATACTAAAACCGAACAAGCTATTTGTATGGAAATTGGTAAACTGACCAGATTTTCCACAACACCCGTGATTCTTACAATTTCTTCATAATACTTAATGCAATCTTTCAATTTCATAGTAATTTTATTATTATCTACTATTTTGTTATCATCCTCTGAGCCCAAATTCTCCAAACGATCACATAAAATATCCAATTGCCCCTTGATGTGTATAAGAAATGAAGCCGATATCGAATCAAAAGCGATATTCATATAACAGCATATAGAAACGGCTATATATTGATATAAATACATCATTAGATATCGGAACTTTGTATCTACATTTATGGGATTGTATAGCGACAAAGGAAGTTCGGTATTATCCACAAAATATTGCGTTACCAGCACCACCTGTAGGGCACACAATGAAATACTGCAGTAACTATTCCTTACAGCACGACTTAGTTGCTGTGATTCTTTAAACATTTTAACTTCCCGTTTATTTAGGGGACGAAACATAGGTCTATGTATTGTTTCCACTAGTTCGTAGTATAGATGATTTTTCCATTTAATAGTCGAAAATTTCGACAGCACTGCCAAAGAGGTGGCAAATATGAAAAATACTTTAATAACTTCATTCAAATCGGTTATATTCGTTATAAATTGTATAAACAACTGGCATCGAAGGAGAGTACCCAGAAAAATAGTATATAATAGAAATAAATGTTATGCAGTAATCGAAATCGTGGTGTCACGGTATCGGGTAATTTCCAAAGTGCCAGTAGACGAAATATCCATGATTGATATTTGTAAAAAGTTTCCAACGCTTTATGATGATCACGAGTATTCATGTTGAAGAGAGTTTTTAATTTAAAATACTTTTAAAAGAAAATTTAAATGTTTGCGCCTTTTATAAGAAAAGTGTAGGATATTTTTGGGAAGACCAGAGATTTGATGATGAACGAAATCTTTACAATACTATCGAGATTCCAATCTATATCGCATGCCACATTTTGTATCCTAAACACACTGCCAGGGTTTAGTAATGTTATATATTATTATACATTACTATATTATTTTAGATCCGAAGGAACAATTACATTTTTTTCTTGTCATGGTCACCTGATTTTAAATTAACTTAACATTCAAATTAAACTTAATTGCCCAATTACCAAATAAGTTATTAAATTATGAAAATGTTTGAAAACTATTTTATTGGTTAATAACTTTCTATTTCAGCAAAATTTCATAATATTATCATTATTAAAGTATTCTACTACAAATTACATAAAGTATTTTCCAAACATCAAATCTTTTAACCATTAACACGCTTTAGTAAAGCAAAATAGCTATAAGACGAATTAACTATCTGAAAAAGTAAGATAAATATCGAAAACTTTCATTTCTATAAGATCAAATATGAAAAAAACTCACCGAAGTAAATGCCGCCAAATTGAATGAATAAGAACGATTAATACTTTTAATACGTATTGGCTCCTCAAAACGTATCATTAGAAGTAAGA